GAATCAAAGCGAACACCCTACCTTGTCTTGTGAGTCAACATCTAACAACTTCACAAAAGTAGGGTCCCGACCCCAAGCTTGGCTGTGCCTAGGCTGACAAAAGTATGACGACGCCGAGCTAAGATCGACCTCCTGGTTGGTTACCTACAGGAACAGACATAACACAGGGTGAGCCAAGCTCAGTGAATAATAGTACTAATATGCTAGTAAATATATTTACTGCTGTAATCATGCCATTAGTCTGTCTCTGTACGGCTTGTAGGGACAATATAATTGATTTATAATTGTCATAAGGTGGCCCCTGGCCTAAGAACATCACACGTTCGGAAAGAGTCTTTGGGTTCACAATTTACAATTCATCACATAACCTTTTGGTTTTGTTTAATCCACAAACTCACAATAGTGACATTCATATTTCACACATCGGCCCTTGGCCTCATAATTTCATTGTTCACAAATGGCTCTTGGCCACTTCACAATTCACAATTGACCCTTGGTCACGTAGTTTCACATTAGGCTCTTAGCCACATTAATTCACAGTTGGCTCTAGGCCACATTGAGTCACAAATGGCACTAAGCCACATTGGTTCACAATTTCATATTGCCTTGATACCTTCCGGTAGTCACAATTTTCATATAGGATGCGTACAACTTCACAACCTTTTCAATGTTTTCACAATTTCGTATCAAATTATCTATAGCAGATATGTCATTTCATACCAACACAAGTTTAATAGTGACATTCATAACGTCAAGATATAACGTCAGTGTATCATGCAATGCTACTTTCTACAAGATCACAACGTCATTAATTATAATTACAGAGTAGGGATACATTGAAGCACTATTACTCACTGTGTTGTGGCGGTGCACTTCCTTTTGAGGTGTTTCCTACACACATGAACATATAAAAGATCACATTAGCCCCTTTTTCTTGTTAAACCAACATTCGGTTCACTTACTTTGATTAAATTAACGAATATTCAAACAATATTAACTGTAGGTTTTGACCACATTAGAGGACCCAACACGTAAAACGGAGCATCCCGACTTTTCTGCCCTGGGCTGCACGTGCGGCTAGGATCCCCCGCACGTGCGGCACACCTCCCGCACGTGCGGCAATGAGGCCCCGCACGTGCGGTTTTTGCAGTGTTGAAGTCCAACAATTTGCCATTTTCCCGCACGTGCGGCAGTGACTCCCGCACGTGCGGCTGAGGTTCCCGCACGTGCGGCCTTAGGCCCCGCACGTGCGGCGATTCTGCACTAAAGGTCCGAAATGTTTGCACAATTTTCTTCTTCTTATTAACATGTTTAGGCCTCAAAAATCTAACTTTCAATTACCCATATACAAGTTCAAAGCATGCAATTACATATGAACAAGGATCAAATTACACATTTCATTTGAGTAAGAATCAATCATGAATCCACAACTCAAATTCACTCCAAGTCACAAAATTTCTACTTGTTCTCATATCTCAACTCATAAACTTAGAACCATGCCACATACTTAAATTCAAACAAGCCAATTGAAGAAATAGAGTAAAGTTTCTCTTAGATACTTCAAATCGAATCAACACATGCAAGGTAAGATCATTTTGCTAATTTACTTCTCATACTCACATCACTACAACTTCAAACTCTTAGGGACAAGATTATAGAAACATCTTCACATAAATTATGACAAGAGGGTTGTAGATGAAAATTAAACAAACAATTACATACCTTAAGCCCAATCTCACCCTTCTTGAGAACCTTTTCTCTCTACCTCTTCAACTCCCAAGCTTAGTGTTATGTTTCCTTAACTTATCAAATGACCAAGAACACTCTTATATTTCCATGAAAAGAGAATGAGACAAAAATCAATCGTTTACACATCCGAAAATTGAAATTTCACAGAAGTGCTTAATATTACCTAAAAATTATGCTGGTTCCAAATATGTGATCAATTTTGACTTATTAATCCGCTAAGGCCCTCAATTTCTACTTTATCGTTCGAATAGTAACAGATACATTTCTTTCCTAACAGATATAATTCATTCTACCAAGCATTACAACATAGCTACTTGACCTCATTCTCTTATACAGCTTCACCTTAGTCACTTAATAGTACAGAATAAAGGGCGGCATACATCACAAACATATATGAGGGTCGGGTTGTTACACCACTGAAATCCAGTAGATTTTTAGTGGCTATCACACTATTTTGAGAGCTAAAATCAGAGAGGGGTGACCCTCTCACCCCCTGATTTGTTTACTATCTTTGTTGGCCTGCCAAAGGGGCTCCTACTTGCATGTTTCAAAGTCACATTTCAGGCCCTATTTGGTGAGTTTTAAGGTCTGCCTTAGCTCTGTCCAGAGCCTTTTTGGCCATATTTTGTGTCCCTCATGCATGTGTAGAGCAATCCTCCTCAAGGCCTTTCAAAGGGACCTTTCATTGCATGCTTCATTGACCCATTTCAGGCCCTTTTCAGTGAGTTTTAGAGTTGTCATAACCTCTTTTCAGAGGTAGTTTTTCCACTTTGTATGTCCATCATGTATGTGTAGAGTAATCCACCTCTTGGCCTTCCAAAGGAACACTTCATTTTTGCATGCATTGACTGAGTTTCAGTGGTTATTTGGGCATATTTTGGCATGGTATACTTCTATTTTTGGCTGGTTCAGTGAGCCCTCCGGTGCTGATGCATAT